TACGTATTCTCCAGCCCCACCCGAGCCTTCAACAGGTCCCGTCTGCTCAGAGAGCATTCCCACCCACCTGATGACAGCACAGCGGTTCTCAAAGTGTGGTCTGGGGACCGCAGGGTTCCTGAGGTCCTTTCAGGGTCTGTGAGGCCAAACCTAGATTGGTAATAACACCACAGTGTTGTTTGTCTTCTTCATCCTCATTCTCTCACAGATGGACAGAGCACAAAAAGTCCGTTGATTTGGTTTCAGGTCCCACACTGCAACAAACCTTTAAGAAATGACCTTTTGTTAGGTGTTGGTGTCATATCAAAGGATATCCCCAGTTATCTGAAAAGACCCTCTCGGTATGCTTCCCCACAACTCCACATCTGCGTGAGGCCACATTTCCTCCCCAGAGTCAGCCCCCAACAACCTATCACGCAGTCTGGATGCAGAAGCAGGTGTGAGAACCCAGCTCTCTCCAGACATTCAAGATTCCTAAGAACGTACCACAGCGCCCCTCCTCTCACAGCTGGTTTTGTTTTTTGAAAATATAGCCTTTTCATTAAAATCACGTTATTTATGTTAGCGTATAATGAGTCTATCCTTGTAGATTTGAAATGGACCAATAAGTAAATATTTTTAAATTCCTGTTTTCATTTCTAATATCCTAAATATTGGCAGATATGTACACACACAAGCTCTGTGCAGTTCCCAAATCCGTGAGAGCAGAATAGGGTAATGAGACCAGAGGTGGGAGAACCTGGCCCCCAGCGGCTGAGGTCCAGGGCCCTTGTTGGCTGTCCTCTGGGGCGGCCCCACAGCAGGGGGCCCCTGTGTCCAGGCTGCCTGCAGGTGGGAGTTGCAGGACCGGGGGTTCCCGGAATGAGGGGCATCCAGGTCTTGCTCAGCATCTTTTTTCAAAAGGAAATGCCTGCCCTTCTCTCCCAAGGTGTGAGAAGTTCAGGCGTTTTTCCACCCGGTACCAGATTCCCACATCCAGCGTCATCCCATTCCTCACTCCACAGCCTCTCCTTCCCTTCAGTCCCACCATCCTACAGAAAAATGAGGTCTGTGCGTCTGGCGGGAGATGCGAGGCCGTCCTGACTGCTTGCCTCCCTCAAATCCCCCGGATGCTGCAAGATCAGCGCTTCTCACGGGTGGGTCCTCCAGCCATCTCTGGGGCAAAGAACAAGGGGACGATATCGTACTGTACAAACAGGGTGCCTTTTCATGACCTTTACAATCAGTCTTATGAGGTACAAGTCACATAAAAGACAGAGTACACATACTACGCAGTCTGACAACTTTGTACAAGTGCACACGCCGTGTAACCGCCACGCTCAGGGACAGACCAAGTCCCCCCCCCGCCGCCCCAGGCCTGTGCCCTTTGTAGTGCATGTCTCCGCCCGCCCAGCCCTCTGCCCATCTCCTCCTGGTCCCTGAAGATGGCGTCACCTGTTCTAGGACCTCACAGGTGTGGAAGCACACAGCACACGCTCCTTGGTGTCTGACTGCTTTCCCTCAGCAAAATGTTTTGCGATCCTCACGCTGCTTCTTGTGTCAGTCGTTGGTCATCTCACAACTGAGCATTATCTGTGATGAGGGTAGACCACGCTACCCTCTCTCTTGTTGATGGACTTGGGGCTGTTTCCACTTTTTGACTGTTACAAATAAAGCTGCTGCGAACATCCTTGTACAAATCTTTGTGTGGATGTGTGATTTTATTTATCTTGAGTAGATACTCGAGAGTGGAATGACTGGGTCGTCAGGTAAGTGTAAATTTCACTTTATGGAAAACTGTCGGTTCTCCAGGTGGGTGTGCCACTTCAAACTCCCGCCGTCAGCGTGCGAGCGTCCCAGGTGCTCCACGACCTCACAGTATGGTCAGTCTTTTTTTTTTCTCCCCAAAGCCCCAGTGCATGGTTGTGTGTCCTAGTTGGAAGTCCTTCTAGTTTTTCTATGTGAGCTGCTGCTGCAACATGGCTGCTGACAGGCGGGCGGTGTGGTTCTACAACTGGGAAATGAACCTGGGCCGCCAAAGCACAGTGCACCGAACTTTAACCACTAGAGCATCAGGGCTGGCTCACAGTTAGTCATTTTACGATAGACCTTCTTGTGAGTGTGTACTGGTGTCCCACTGAGGTTTTATTTTGCATTAAATTAACTACTTATATTAACTGTTATATATAATATATATTATATACGTTAAATATATTAGCATATTACATATGCATCTATATGTACTTACACCAATACCTCACTCTTATTATTGTAGCTTATAGTAAGTCTTAAAGTCAAATGGTTTTAAACCTCCAACTTTGTTCTTTTTTTAAAGAACATTTTGTTTATTTGAAACCCTTTGAATTTCTCTTCTTTTTTTAAAGATTGACCCTGAGCTAACATCTGTTGCCAACCTTCCTCTTTTTTTCTTTCTTCTCCCCAAAGCCCCCCAGTACATAGTTATATATCTTAGTTGTGGGTCTTTCTAGCTGTGGCATGTGGGACGCCACCTCAGCATGGCTTGATGAGCAGTGCCATGTCGGCACCCAGGATCCGAACCGCGAAACCCTGGGCCACCAAAGCGGAGCACACGAACTTAATCACTTCGCCGCAGGGCCGGCCCCTGAATTTCTATATAAATTTTAGAATCAGCTTTTCAATGTCTACACAAAGGCCTCGTGGGATCTATTGACATCACAATAAATCTAAAGATCAATTTGGGAAAAAGAGCTTAATAGCGTCAAGTCTCCTGTCCGTGAGTGTGGTATTTCTCTACTTTTTAAGTCTCCTTTCATTCTCAGCAATGATTCTTAGTTTTCAGTGTATTGGTCCTGCACCTATTTTCTTAGACTTGTCTCTAAGTAATATGTATTCTTTGGTGCCATTGTGAATGACAAGGTTTTTTAATTTTCATTGCTAGTATATAGAAATCCAGTTGGATCCATGTATTAGCGTGGCGTCCCACAGGAGAGCTGCGTGTGAAGTTTGTGGGGTCAGTTCTGGTCTCAGTGCCCAGCCCCAGGCGCATGGGCCCTTCTGATCTGCATCCTTCGATGAGATGACACACTTTCCCCTCGGCCAACCAGATTCCCCCAGCCCCGGAGGTCAGCCTGTCCCAGGGTCCTCTCTGCTGGAGTCCTTCCCTGTCCCAGGGGCCCCCTTTAGCAGGACTTCAAAGGGATCCACCAAATTCCTCTCCCACGAGGCCCACCTCTCTCCCCAACACATCCCTTCCCACTGTCCCTCCTCTGAATGGAATATGATCTGTCCCCCAGCACAGCCTTTGTCTTCTCCCCGCCCTGCACAGGCCTCCTCGCCTTCCTGCAGAGCCCGGCAGGCCCAGCTCCCTGTCAGTCACCAACAAAAGAGAAAGGCCTCAGGCTGAGGGTCTGGCTGGCCCCCCACCAAGCAGACTGGAAGTGAGGGCACCAGCAGCAGCCCCCTCCAGAGACACCGCTTCACAAACCCTCCACTCTCCACTCCGGCCCCATCACAGACAGCACTTCTAACTGGGTCTCAGTCACCGAGCAAGACTTCTGCTTGGTGGTCTGGACCTTCACTTGAGAGTTTCTCATCTAGTGCATCTTGATCCCACAGTCGAAACTTCAAATTTGACATCCTCTTGTGCGTCCTGCATGGCACCGATCCTCACTAGGCCTGTGCTCAGGACTCAGCCAAGTTCAGGACATGGACGGCAGTGTGGGGTAGTGGAGGGACCTCTCGAGGTGGCTGGGGAAAGCTCAGTGTTGTAGCTCAGCAGCTCCACACCGGCAGGTTTGCTGCTGCTCCTGCCACGGCCCAGAGCAAAGTGGCAGCGGACGGGCTTCGATCCACCTGGTCGTTCAGGGAGCCAGGATCTTTCCACTCCATGGTTCTGCCCCCTAGTGCCGTGGGGTCCATCACTGGAGCCCTCTGCACCCAGGCAGGTGAAAGGAAAGAGAAGGTGCAGAAGATCTCACAGAGGTCGTTCATGGGCTGGGCCTGGAAGTGGCACCCATCACTTCCACCTCAATCCATGGCCGGAACCCAGCTGGCAAAGAGGGTGTAGCTGTGTGCCCCAGAGGTGGGTGAACTAACCTCAGGCCTGAGTTCAGGTCCCAGACCTGCCACTCATGACCTGTGTAGCTCAGCACCACCTGCCTCGCTGGGTTGGGGTCTCCGTCACCAAGGCAGGGTGAGAACCAGGGGTGCTGTGTCCCTTCCTGAACTTCCACTTGATTCTCTGATGGGCGTGATACTCTGAGATGCCTCAGTGGTCCTCAGGGGCACAGGCAATGCCGCAGCTCATTGCCAAGAAGACCAGCTCCAGGTACCTCCCTGGTGGCCCCTGGCGGCTGTGGATAGCCACCCTCAGGCCCCCTGTCCTCTCACTGGTCTGATAGGCACCAGCTGGAGAGCCCGGGAGCTCCGGGCACGTCAGGAGTTAGCTGTGGTCTCAGCTTCCCCTCTCCCTAGCGATTCTCCACACTCAGCCGTCAGCGACCTCATCGTGCTGTGCCGCAGCATCGTACAATTCTAGACAGAAAACTGGGAGAAATGGGAAAGAAAAAAGAGAAAGAAAATACCATTTTTAAACTAAAAGAAATAAGTCCACATTGCAATGGATTAAAAACTTTTTTAAGAAAACACTAATTATTTCTCCTGCCTGTTTTCCATCAAGTTGACCAAATCTGGTGACGCTTGACTGTTTTGTGGAATGCATAAACACACCATGTGCACGTCTGTGTAGAAACAGCTACACTTTGATCTTTGCCAACATCACTCAGTCCCAACTTTGAAAAAGAAAATCCTTTTTCATTAACATCCAACTGGCTTTAAGGAGGTCAAACTCAAGATTTCCTTTTACCAACTGAGAATCTTCCAGTTTAGCCTTTGACTAGAAGGCTCTCTGGGAAACCTTTCCCTCTGAGAAATCTAGTGAGTAAATTCCTGCCATGGTGTCATGTTCATGGATTTCACACTGTCCTTCTGCGCCCTGTCCAGCAGCCCTCCGAGGAGAGAGCCAGACTTCTGGACCACGAGTGTCTTTCCCTCCTCTGGCTGCTTAGTCATCTCCCAAGTCATTTGGCAGTTGTCTGTGGCCCCTTCAAAATGTTTCCATTTATGGTTAGAATTTGGTCTTCCCAGTTTGGTCACACAGATGGGAAAACTTAAATGAAAGACAGCATCACAGAGCTTCTCTCAAGAGCAGGCAGAGGAAGAGGCTGGAGCTGGTAGCAGAAGGGGCTCCACGGTGACTGTGACCAAACAGACCACAGCACTGCTGAGGGGGTGGCCAGGGGAAGGGCCCACCGCCCACCAGGAGGTCTGCCTGCGGCTCTGCTCCTCCCTGGCACACATCATGGACTCCCATTATACATGGAACACGTGCCTGGTGGGGATCGATGCCACCATGGGGCCTGGTACAGTTAGTCTTATTGCCTAGTTTGCTCTGTTTACTTAATGTCTACTGCTCTCATTGGGGCGGGAACCACCCTGCCCACTCTGGGGAGGGGCAGGTGGTGAAGGGTGGGGAGCCCCCCAGGCTGGTCACTGCCTCAGCCCAGGTGTGAACCCAGCCCAGGAGCACACCCTTGACTGAAGCTGGGGTGACCATGATGGTCCTGGGCTTCTGGAGACCAGCAGGAAGTACAGCACACCCCGGAAGCCAGCACCCAGGCCCATGTCAATGGCCCTTGGGCTCCGCCATGCATGCTGCTCGAGGCCCTAGCCCTGCATCTTCTTCATGCCCAGAAATCTTCTTCCCACCTCTTTTCTCCAAGAACCCCGGTCCCTCAGGGGCTGCTAAGCACTCCTGTTGTTTGACCTTCCATGAAACCCACCTCTCCCTTGCCACAGTCCACTTCCACCCAGACCAGGGGAGGGCGCAGAAGGGGCAGGAGCTCTCCTCCCAGAACCCAAACAACCAGGGAGGGTCTTCCCCTAACAGGAAATCTCCCATCCTTTTTAAGCTATCAGCTAAAGTGCAGCCAATTTGGAAAACAATAATTTCCCCCTTTATTAACATATTAAAGATTAAAGAAAAAACGTTCAGTCTTTATCTCCTAGTTCTGTCACCTAGACTACAAGCCAAGGAGAGCTAGGACTCTTCACCATGCTGGATGCTTAGCGGAAGGCAGGGAGGAGGAAGGAAGGAAAGACGGCATTAAATTGTATGCTCTCAAGCTTTATTCCTCACCTCACCTCAGGAAACTCAGACGTGCCTAGAACCACTTTCCTTTCTAGAAAGAATAAGGCTTTCCTGGGCTGGGCTGGGCTGGGCTTTCCTTGCTTACCCAGAGGGTGAGGTCTGACCCGTCGTCATGGCCTGGATAGGTGTCTGTGCGCCTAGAACACATCCAAGTGAAAGCACATAGGGCTCATGTCTGCCACAGACTGGTCTGGAGTTCCCATGACTCATGCGGCAAGTGACGTGGCATCATGACTTTCATCTACAGCTGGAAAGGCCCTACGGGGACTTGCACGTCTTCAGTGTCAAAGTACAACTTCAAAAAATTAAAAACACACCTCTCACACAAACATAGGATGAAGACGTGGCAGAGATTCTCTTCAGCTCCTTCACGAGGAACCAGGGAGATGGCAGGGCTGGTTCAGATGGGCCTTCAGGAGCAGGGATGGTGGGTCCATCAGGAAAAACTTTCTGAAACAATTGTGCTGAGTTAGAGACGAAAGCATATGTCCTACAGAGCAGTTAGATAATAATGTTTAGAGCTATCCTTCCTACCAAACAGGGATTATTTGCATCTTTGCTGGAAAGAGCCTTCACACCAACATGAAACTTCAAGGACGCTAGAACGTCAGCGCCTGCCTGAGCGCCCCCATCCTTCAGTGTGTCTGTGGACAGGTTTGTGTGTTCATTTATCTCTCATTTTTGTTCTTTTTCTCACATTAGGCCATCTCAAAAAAATTGGAATGTTGTTGTTATTCACAGTATTTACTTGGCAGAGTTGCATGTACCACCCTCTAAATTTTGAACAATTAACAGCCTGCTCTGTGTTTCTAATTAAAGAGAGGGCTGGATGGTGCTCAATTGAAAATCAAGTTCCCCAGGCCCCACTTAAGCCCACAGAGCACACTGTGAAATGCACCAGGGCACAAACAGGCTCACAGAGAGCCGAGTCAGCTCATCCTGCAACTCTCTGAAGGTTAGAGGTCACATGGGTAAAAGAATTCGTTAAAAGTTGGTCACATTTGGGGCAAGCCCAGTGGCACACCAGTTGTTTGCATGCTCTGCTTCAGCAGCCCAGGGCTCGCTGGTTCAAATCCCGGGTGTGCACCTACACTCCGCTTATCAAGCCATGCTATGGCGGTGTCCTACATATAAAGCAGAGGAAGACAGGCACAGATGTTAGCTCAGAGCCAATCTTCCTCGGCAAAAAAGAAAAGAGGAAGATTTGTGGCAGATGTTAGCTCAGGACTAATCTTCCTCAAAAAAAAAAAAAAAAGCACATTTAAGGACTCATTTTTGGATCCTGCGGGAGAGGAAACACCTCACTTCCCTGAGGCAGGAGCCGCACTGCTTTGGAGTAAGAGCACGTTGGTCTAGCCCTGGACTCACGGCCCACTGTCCTCCTACCGTTGGGCAAGTCATCCCCCCCACCCCTGACTCCTTTTCCTGTTTGTCATAGGGCTTGCGGTTCTATGAAGATATGGCAGAAAGTATTTTGGAGGAGAAAAGCAATCCAGGTAAAGCCACAGTCCTGAGGGACCTGCCTTTTCCCAACCAATTCGTTTTTTCCACCCTCAAAGTGTCATTGTAAAGTTCCAACTTGCTTCATTTAGCGTTGGTTTTTCAGTGAGGAGGTGACCACGGTAAAAGTGAGGCATCACTAGAATCCACCCAGCCAAAGCTTACAGCGGAAAATGGGTCACAGGGTGACCACAGTGAGTCATTCTGGATGGGGTACAACCCACACACCCCCACCACCAGCTGCCTGGCTCCTCTGGGAATTTCCAGTGGAAAATCTCCACTTCTGATCCAAGAAGGAGGGGATGGCCTGTCCCAGTGGGAACACTAAGGAAATCGATGCAACTCAATTCACTGTAAAATGTGTGTCTATTGAGCTTTTGTGAATGCACATTTGCCAAACCCTGTGCTTTCTCTCACAGCGCTGCAGAGGCCACAGAAACGGATGGTATCAGGAAAAGTTTTCAGGCAGGAGTCATGTTCAGGTCTTGAAAGGTGGTAGATATTTGGATAGATAAAGATGGTGGGAAAGATATTTCAAACACTGAGAAGAACATAAGGGAAATCACGGAGGTGGGACCTCATGCACCACCCTGGGGAATGGAGAGCATCTCCTTTGATGGGAAAAGTTCCAGCACCGGCCACGTCACCAACTCTCAGAGTCAGGCTGCTGTGGGGTGCAGAGCTCACTCCTCATGTTCTCCATTTATGCCAGTGCTTTCCCTCCTTCCTGACTTTCTGAGTCCTGTCCTGGTTCCACCATAATCCCAGAGTCCCCAGGCTCAGTCTCAGAGCTGTGCTTGACCTGCCCTCTCCCTTGACCCACACAACTCTCCATCAATACAGATGCTGCCTCAGTGGGGACCTCTCATCACCGGCCCCCGTTCTCCCTTCCCATAGCGCTGTAGGTCCTCTACATGATTCCTGTTTCGGCTGTTGTAAGACACTCTCACATTTTTTCCAACCCAGGAAGAATTTCCTTAACTCCCAGCTGTGGCATCACCTCCTTGTAGTTGGCACAGACTCTGGTTCTGGCAGAAAGGTTCACGGTCAGAGAACTGGGTTTGAAGCTGGGGGGTAGGGGTGAACTCAGACGACTCAGCTCCACAGGCCACAGACAAATCAAGTCCACCCTGCTTGGTCAACAGGCATGGTCCTCTGGTCAGGACAGCCCCCCCCCCCCCCCCCCCACCCCCGCCCCTTGATGCGGGAGCTGAAATGAGTTCGCTCACTGTTGCACAGCAAGCAAATCTCTCACACTGGGTGTGGCGGGAGAAAGCAGGACTTTATTATTGCACAGCACTGAGCAAGGAGAAGAGGCAGCTAACGCTGAAACCCCAAACTCCCCGAAAAGCTAAAAGGGAGGGTTTTTATTTGGGGTTTAGGTAGCGGAGGGGGAGCACATGGCGTCCTCGCCAGAGCCTTCCCACCAGCCTGTGTTTGGCCTTGATACTCTTGGAGAGACGAGGAGCCCATGACCCTGCCGGCCAGCAGCTTCCCACCAGCCCAGAGCTCCTTGGGGGAGGTGATGATACAGAACCCAGGTGGTGACCTTGGCCGCTGGTCTCCACATCTCCACGCGACAGTGGGTGCTGGGGCCAGGGAGCAGGGAACCACTGCTCTGTTTTAAGCCCACGTGCCGGGTTCAGTGCAGGGAACCGGCATCAGGGCGGCATCACCCTTGCAGGATCGCGAAGTCCACGGGGCAGCTCCGGCGGGGGAGCCCGGCGGCCTTCCCTCCGCGCCTTCCCGGCGCTCCCGGCCCGCACTTCAAGCGCGAAGGAGGAAACGTAGATGGAGAACAGGGGGCCTAGGGCGCCAACGCTCCAAGCGCAGGAGCCCCTAGCGGCTGGGCTGTGGCTTCTGTCGTGAGTCAGCTGTGGGAGGAGCGACCACGTGCCCGGCAGCACCCCGGAGCTTCGGCCGTCGGCTCCTCAAGGCCGAGCCCAGGCCCTGGAGACGCACCAGCAGCCGGCCCGGGGGCGCCAGGACCACCGAGAGGCGGGCTGGGGTCCGGCCTGGGACTCGCCCACCACCCAGCTTACGCCCACCGGTGGCCTCCGACCCCAAACACGCCCACGACGAGGCCGTGCCTCGCACCGGAAGAGGAGCCACAGTCTCCTCACCGCATTCCGGAAGCCCAGGCCTGTGCTGGTCACCGCAGCGGCAGAGGAAGTCCCGCCCCGGAAGTCACGTGGGCCCCAGGGCGGGCTCCATTAGCCCGGACTGCCCAGTCTTGGGGCAGGAAGTCCTGCCCCCTGGAAGTCACGTGGACTGGGACCGGAAGTCCCGGGAAGCGTGTAGGCCTTGGAGCCTGGGATTCCAGCTGGTGGGGACGCTGCGGCGGGTGCGAGGGCCCTGCCCGCCCTGCCTGGGTGCGTGTCGGGGAGGCGTCCGGACTCCCTGCTCCGCTTCCCTCCCAGCGTTGGCGGGGGCGGTGAGGCTGATTTCTCGTCGCTCTGAAGGACGGCGTCGCCGCAGCGCGCTCCCAGCAGCCCAGGCGAGGACGCGCGGCGGCCCGCGGGCGGACGAGGAAGCGTGGTGTGTCCGAGCGGCGGTGTCATTCAGGCGCGGAAAGGAGGGACGTCCTGGTGCTGCTGCACCGGCAGAGACGCTTCAGACTACGCTCGGTGAGCGTCCAGACGCAGAAAGTCACGGCGTGTGGGGTTCCGTTTACAGGAACTGCCCGGCGTCGGCCCGTCCGTAGAGATGGAAAGCGGATCGGTGATCGCCGGCGGCTGGGCAGGGAGTATGGCAAAGGGAGCTGCTGCTCACGGGCGCGCGCTTTCCCCTGGGGGGACGAGAATGTTCTGGAACAAGATCGAGGTGACAGCTGCGCAACATTCTGATTGTACGAGATGCCAATGAATTGGACGCTAACATGGTTACAATGATGAATTTTATCTGAAGGAAGGAAGGAGAGAAGGAAGGGGGTGGCCTAGGCTGACTGCCTCCACGGTAAGGGCCTCGAGGCCAGGCCTGCGCCCGCTCTCTGAGGAGCGCTCCCCTGGAAGGCATCGCGATGGTCCTGATAGCTGTGCAGGAGCGATGGAGATGTACCTGCTGAGGCCCAGAGCGGGCGACAAGCCACTTCAGGGACAAGCAAGAGGCCAGTGGCTGCCCAGAGTGACCGGCTAGCAGCAGGGCTAAGATCCGCCCACTGGCATGCTCTCCGGGCACCCTGCGTGTGCACTGTCCTTTCCTCCCGGGCCTGGTTCGAAGGAGACTGGTCCCATCCCATTCATGCCGTGAAGAGGGATTGGCAGTGCCTGGCACCTCGTCTACTCTGGAAAGACCTGAAGTTGCACAAGGGCTGATGTCAGGTCCTGTGGGATGAGTTACAGCCCCACCGCCCTGTCACATTTGGCTCTCTGCCTTTGCTTGAAGTTCACAGCCTCCTCCTTTCCGGTCCCCTGATTCTTGATGTTTAATTGCTAATAGCAATCCCTCCCCTTCTATTTATAACCACTTCATAATGCAGACCAGTGTCTCCCTGTGGTCGGGTGGTTTTAGTAAATCCGCTCAGTAATCTGATGCTAACAGTCAGAGCAGTGTGTTTCTCTTGACCCTGGCTGAGAGTCACTTTGTGTGGTGGCACCACTCCCAGCCCTGAGATGGGGGCAGCCCGTTCCCGCGTGGAAAAACCAACTTGCTCTTCCACTTCTTGTGGATGAGTGTACACGCACTTGGGTGTGGGTGGGGTGGGGGCTGCCGAGGCAGGACAGAGGGCACCGTTATTGGAGCCCAGGCTGAGTGTTTCTCCTTGCTCCATGCACACAGACGTTTTTGAAGTCAGTTTGGATTTTTGTGGAAACTTCATTTTTTTATTTTTCCCTCTTGTTTCTCTGGTAACATCGAAAACAAACACACACAGATGTGTCACCTGGCTCCCAGCTACGTTTTTCCAGCAGACACCTACAACTGGAAACTCAGCAGGACTTGGACTCCAGAATCCAAATGAACTCTTACTTAACTCCTCCTCCACCAATTCTCTCTGTGCCTCACCCACCACAGAGCTGGCTGGGCAGACGCCCTCTTCCAGGCACCAAGGAGAAAGGGCTGTGGCTACTCTGTCCACCACCCAGGAACAGGCTTCTCCCCAGACATTTGCAGGGGAAGAAATCTCTGCTCCCATATCTTCCTGCCCTGCTCGTGATTTAAATATAAGAACGAAGGTGTTTGCAACACTCACTTGCCTTCTCCGAACAACCAGAGCTTCTGACCGTGGAACAGGCTATTTATTCCCCAAAGCTGAGGATTCCTTGTCTCTAGAAACCACAGAATTTGCTTACTAGGAAAATATTGTTCCTTTATTCCAGTTGTTTCATTGTAAAATGAAGCAGCTAAGGAACAAAGAGGAGGCCACACAGAGAATTAGTGGTAAAGCTAGAGAGAGGAAGCCCGTTCCTGGCTCCAGTCTGCCCTCCACACCATTCGGCTGGTCCCCACTGAGAGAAGCTGCCGAGTATCTCGTCTGGAAGGCCTCCCAGGCTCCAGGAACTAGCTTTTTCACCAGTTCTGTTTTTGCTGACTTGTTCCATTTTTGTTCTAAATAAGGAATTTCACATTTCTACCCAGTTTTGAATCTCAAATATGTACTCTGACAATATAGAAACTTTTCTAACACATAGTAGCATATCAGCCAAATTTCCCCTTTTACTCATTAATTCACCAAATGGTTATTCAACACCTACTGTGAGCTGGGCCATGTGTGGTGGGAATGCAAGGGTAGATACAACCAAGTCTGTGTCCGCAAGAGCTCCTGGTGTCCCGTAGTGCAGCAGACAGAGGCACGGACAGGTGATGCCTGCCTTGCAGGCCACAGTGCCAACACGGGTTGGCTTGGAGATGTCCTTCCCTCTGCAGTGTTTACAGGGTAAGAATATCTGCTACTTTGTCTTCTTGGCAAAACAATTTAATACTTACTTTATTGTATTCCTACCCCAAGGAAACAAAATATTAAGCTGATTATAAAAACTCCATGTGTTAAAGTCTTTTGTGCAATCCTTGCTCCTAGCCGCCCCTTTCGATGTGTCACGTTTGGCAATTGTTCACCCTTCTGAGCCTCTGCTGGATGGGATAATTAGCAGAACACTAGCAAATTATCTTATTATTGTTGGCTAAACATGCTCTTATTGGGCACCTGCCGTACATTCAATGAGAACATATACAAAGATGAGTACAATACAATTTTACAGTACTTTACAGCTTACAGTAAAGTTGGTGAGAGAATTTTAAGCAAAGTAGAATTTTGAAAAGCAATGTCTAACTCTCCCAACCAGGAGCCCTACGAAAATATCTGGGCTAGCAATTCCCCACCCCCTTAAAAATTTGTCCAGGCCAGAAGCCAAGGGAGAGGCTGGGCTGCCTCCCAGCCTTTGTGTAAATGATAAACCAGAAAGGACCAGCTGAGGCTGTCTGAGGCAATCCTCCTGCGAGTGACCCAGGCCCAGGGCACAGGCCAGAGGGAGGGCGTACCTGGGGCAGTTTGGGAACACAGGCGCTGCCCAGACTCTCTCGTCTCTGCTGAGGAGTGGTGGCATTTGGTCATGTCAGCAGCTTAGGAGACCTCACAACTGCTCCTGGACTAGCAGAGTTTCCATTCCCTTCCAGAACTGTCTGCAGGTCCTGCTGCCATGGCCCTCTTCACTGGATGCTGGCTCTTCAACCACATATGTAAACTCAGGGTAAATCTTTCTCCCTTCATCTGGCTGTGAAGGAATTCTGACAGAAGCGTACCTCTCGGACAGGGTCCATCTCAGCTCTAACATGCCTGAAAGCAGTGAACCGCTTAAACAGAGACTTCCTTCAAAAACACTGAATAAAGAAAATCCCTGGACTTAATAAAAATTGCTGCCATTCGAAAACAAAGAGACACGAGGTGCTGGTTCATGTCCTTCATCAGGCAGATGCCAAGATAGGATTAGCTGTGCAGATGTCATGGGGAAACATCTGTGAAAGACAAAGGGGAGGGAGCTGGGAAGGCATGGGGGAGAAAGGAGGATGGGCAGGAAGTCTGGGACTGCTGCACAGGCCATGGAAGGTTCTGGAGCCCAAGTCACCCCTTCGTGGCGTCCTGTGTGTTGCAGGAGTGACCTGCGTTAGTGTCCCCCCAGCTGAGTCTTGGGCAGGAGCATCTCCTGTGAAGTGTGGCCCACGTGCACATGGTGGTCCAAGAAGGGCACCACTGGGGCTGTCACTCACCTCTGCTACCCCAGCTGGCACTTCGTGGCTGCTGGCTTTGCACTGCACGGATCCACTTCTCCACTCAGGCCTGGCGAGCAGCTCCTCTGGGATTCCCACAGGCCTCTCTTCCAGGGGGAAACTTAGAGGAGGGAGGTCAGTGGGACTAACCACAGCCCCCATCACTACAGTAGGTCTCAGGGCCACCACTGACCCTCATCCTCTCCCTCCTCCACCATCCATTCTGAATTCCCCTCACGCTGGGCAGCCATCCCTTGCTGAGAGCTCCATGGCTTCCCTGGGGGTGTGAGTCCTTCATTCTGGAGGAGTCTGAGCTCTTAGCAGTCAAACCTTCTCAGGCCCATTGCTGCACTGCACCTGTCCACTCATGGTGACCATGGGGAAGGGAGTGCCTGGAGGCACCCAAGAGGATCACCTGGGTTTCACCTGTGTCCTTCCCAGCCTCCATGGTGTGAAAGCGGTCCTATCTCCTGATGATCAGAGCCACTTACCTGCCAAGCCAGTGGCTCCTCATCTGCTGGACACGGGACATAAGGAGTCCAACGTGCCCTGGTGGTCCAATGGGACACTTTGAGGACCAGACTTTCAACCCTGTAGAGCCCAGAGTTCCAGGGACAGGAAACCCAAAATCCCCCAATGGACTAGTGGGAGTGATGGTAGGTGGGGCTACTTCTGCTTCCATCGTTCAGTTCCTGAACCCATATACTCTTCCTCTTGGGGACGCAGCATCGTGTAAGTGTCTCTGATCTAACGCAGGCACTGCATCCTGGAGGAAGACACCTTCCTTTCGGGATTGCCTCCTTAGTGGTACTTCAGCTCTGCCTTAGAAAGCCTTTCGAGCCTTTGACAAGGCCAGCTGACTCTGGGTGGTGCAGTACATGATGTGACTGGTGGGTCCTGTGTTCAGTAGCCCACTCCTGCACTCCATCTGGGAAGAGGGCCCCCTGATTGGATGTTACACTTGTGAGATTCCATGCCTGTGGATCAGGCCTTCTGTAGCTGTGCAGGCTGAGGCTCTGTGAGCAGGGTCAACCTGTGCCTGGAATATCTGTCTATTCACCGGACTCTTCCAGGGTGGAAGTAGCCCAATGTAGTTTGACGTGCCACCAAGTATCCAGTTGTCTCCTTGAGGAATAATGGGCGCCTGGTGCTATTCTCTGTTGCTGAGAATTTGGACATTCAGAGGTAGCTGGATCTGCCTTGCACGTGGTAATCCGTATTGTTGGGTCCATCTCTACCACTGTGGCCACTCCATTTGTGTACCTGTAATGCCAGTTCTGGGGTAACTGATAATGAAGACTGGCTAGTGTCTACTGGCCAACTCATTTTGTCTGCTTGGTTGTTCAGAGCCTCTTCCATCGTGAATGTTTCCTGGTGAGTGTTAACGAGTGACACAAAACTCTTCACACTTCTTGTCCACTCCCAAATGCCCATTCACATGCCTCCATCCCAGAATTCCTCATCCCCGGTCTTGCAGTCTTTTCCTCGGGGCTCCTGATCAGATAGCAAAGCCATCACATACTGCCCATGAGTCTGTATATATTCTCACCTGGGCCACTTCTCCTTCCACATGGAGTGGGAGACTAGTTGCTTGAAGCACTGCCCATTGGGCAGCTTTCCTTCTCTGTGGTCTTCAAAGATACCCTTGACTATGGCTAGAATGAAGCTGCCATCCATTTTCAGCTTCCTCCCATAACAAGCTGAACCCATCTAAAGCCAAGCTCAGACATTTTCCTGTTTCTTCATCTGGTCATACACAGCCCCACACCCAGCCATAGGTGTGAACTAGGGGAGAGGCACTGGTGTCGCTGTTGTGGTGACATGGGTGTCAGGGCTACCGGCTCGTGCAACTTACTCATACTGTTTCGTCCATCTTTTGAAAGACTGCTGCTTGACACATGTGGCTTTATGACATGGTGAGTCCAACAGACTCTACCTCAGAATGGGGAGTTTCAGATACGTGGTTATTTGCTGTCCCTTGGTCAAGCACTCTGTCCCCTTAAGACCCCGTAACATTCTGGGAGCTATTTCTCCAAGTGCATATGATTTTCTGCTGTAGATGGCATGGGTTGATCCAGAATCCCTCTTCCTCATCCTGCTTGATCAGCATTAGGTCATCAGTATAATTGATCAGTGTCATGTTCCATGGGATATCCAGACAGTCCAGATTTCTTTGGACTACATTTTGACAGAGGACAGAAGAGTTAGCAGTACCTGAGACAAGACTGTAAGTGAATATTTTAGTCCATCCCATGTGATTACAGACTTTTCTGATAGGCTTTCTAAGTGGAATAGAAAAGAACGCACTCACCAAATCAATGGCTGCATACCATGGACCTGAGTTCTTAATCTGCTGTCGCAACAGTATCACGTCCAGAACAGGAGCTGCATTTGAGTTACTACTTGGTTACTCTTGTGGTAGATTATAGTCATCCTCCAGGGTCCATCCAGTTGCTGCAGGGTGCATTTAAACAGAGATATGGTAGGAATCCCACACACTTTAGGTCTTTAATTGTGGGGCTCCTCTCCATCATCCCCTCTGGAATGCAACATCGTTTCTGTTTTACTATCTGGAAGGGATGGGGAGCAGTTTCAGAGGTTTCCCTTTCTTACAGCTCTTAATCCACAGGTCAAGAACCCAATATGGAGTTTACTCCCAATGCCAAGGATGTGGAGTAACTGATAGGAATACAAAATGATAGAACTATTTTGGGAAACTGATAGTTTCTTATCAAGTGAAACATGCTATCTGTGACCTGTCAATTGCACTCCTAGATATTTACCCAAGAGAAATGAAAATATATGTTGACACAAATAATTATATAGAATGTTCATAGCAGTTTTATTTATAACAACCAAAAACTTGAAACAAAATGTCCACCAGCAGAAGGATAGATAAACTAATTGTGATGCATCCATACAATGGATTGGTGCAGCAATAAAAAGGAACCAACTACTGACAGGCACAACAATATGGATGAATCTCAAAAGCTTTATGCTAAGTAAAAAACAGTACTGTTTTATTCCATTTATGTGAAATTCTAGAAAAAGCAAATCTCATCTATAGGGATAGGAAATTACTGTTTGTCAGGGGGGGTGGAATTAAATGCAAAAGGGCACAAGAGAGGTTTTTGGAGTAATGGGAATGTTCTAAAGCTTGATTAGGGAGCTGACTACAAAGGTGTATGCATTTGTCCAAACTCATCTAACTGCACACTTCAAATCAGTGCAATTTAGAGGATATAAATTATACCTCAGTACATTGTATTTTTTTAAGTCATGGACTTTTTATCTTTCCAGTATGGAAAATTAAATTCTCTGAATGACACTGAGCACAACTGAAAATGCTGGATCAAAAAGAAAGAAACTGTTAGCCTTTTAAATGCATGGGTGACTGGGTAGTAAGTAATCTTCATAACCCAAAAATTATGTATAAGGTATAAGATATCCACTGAGGATACATAAAGAAACTTGGTGACTCTTTTAATATAGGAAAATTTTCAAACAGATAATTTAAATTAAAATTCCAAGCAGATGGCCCAAAGTCAGTGGTACTCCACACCTAAATACAACTGTCATACCACAGGACACCAAATATGAAGAGGAGATCTTCATAGAAACTAGAGAGAAAGGGCGAACTATTGCAAAGAATGGCATTTAGCTTAAGAGCTCACTTCTCAAAGGCAACCACAGCAGCTCAGTCCAGAGGACTAAAACCTTCAGTGTACTGAGCGGAAAGACCTGCTGACCTGGAAGTCTCAGCCAAGAGAATGTCCCTATTGAGAATGAGGGCCCACGACAGGATTCCTGACTAACAAAAACCAATAGTATTTACTGCCAACACACTCTTTCCAAGGGAAATTTTAGAAGATGTGCTCCGGGAAGAAAAAAATGGTACAAATAGAAAGTCTGAGATGTAAGAAGGAATTGTGAGCAAAGGTATTGTTAAACATGTGGGTGAAGCTATATAGACATCAATGGTATAAAGCAACTTCTATGATGTCTATTTGTGCAGTTGGAAAGAAAAGACTACAGTCTGGATAGAAGTGATGTGGGCTGGGAGGGAGTTCCTGGAGTTAAGAACTCTTTGTTTCTTATTTGTTTGAGATGTTGGGTAAAGATAGTGACTCTAAGTCAGGAGTTATATAATAAAATTCCCTTTTCAAAAATGTGGATAAAATGTGCCAATTTTGTGATTTTGGATTGAAGATTAGTATTTGTATGCCTCTTTGACCAAATGAATCACTTCACCAGGTCTCAGTGGCCCAGAGAACCCTTAAAAACTATCCTGTCATTGGTTGCCCCCATTGGAGTGGGGCAGACATGTTAGTGTAGTACTGAGGGCTCACGGACCATTTAGGGCAGCAATCTGGGACCCTCTGGAGGGATATGTCTGTCAGAAGCACGTTTGTGTCCCTGCGTCTACAGAGGGCTAGAACACGGCGAGCACTCATGGAGACCTTCCATCATGAGGGAGCCCTCTATCATGAACACTCCATCCCTCTTCACGTGCAGATACACGCAGAATCCCAGGGAGGAGGATCTAAGTTGCCCCTGGGATATGTGTTGGTCTCTTTTTGGATCTGGATGTCCCAGTGGAATCACAAAGCCTCCAGGCAGATCTCAGGAATGTCGGTGGGAAGGAGAGGGCTTCTGGGCATCACTTGACAAGCCACACGTTCTGGCCGTCCTCTTCAGCTTTACTGTGTTCACTCCTTTTGCTAGATCTCCAGTCTCTTCAAATGAAGTTCAATCCTAAGTCCAAGGTTCACATTCCTATTTTGTAGGACTCACTGGTGACATGGACCAGACAGTGGGTGTAGGGCATTGCACTGCTTTGCTTACTGATGTGAGCTAAATTATGTCCCTGCGAAATTCATATGTTGAAGTCCTAATCCCCAGCACCTCAGAATGTGACTTCATTTGGAGATAGGATTTTAAAAAAGTAATTAGGTTAAAATGAGGTCATTAGAGTGAGCCCTGATCCAATATCTGGTGTTCTTAT